CATAGTACACATGAGAATTATTATTTTTTGTTCAAGGTTTCTTATTATGCATTCTCTGGCATGTTTTTGTCTTTATTTATTTTACACTCCGCTGCGATAAACCTATGCACATTGACTTCAATTTACCTGTAGGCCTATCACTCTGGTAGTCGCCAAGTGCTGGGATCCTGCACCAAAAAGCTTCTTCGATATTCCCCGGCAGGAGCCTGTTCGGCCGATCGACCCTCGGGCCTGGGTGCTACACACTAATGCTATGACGGCAGTCGGACAGTCGGATTCAGGTCTGGCGGGTGCGACTACAGCGACGCATTTTGGACAGAGTAAGTTGTTCCGAATCTTGTTTTGCCAAGGCCTCTTTTATTTTAAACTTTATTGTCAAAAAATTTTGCTATTAGGGCTTTGTTGGTCAATAAATGGTATCCTCTGTAGTCCCTTTTAAGTTAATTTCCATCTCATTAAAAATTTGCTATGAAGAGTTTGTCTGGTTAATCCTAAATATTTTTTCATTTATAATTAGCGTTTCGAGACTACAAGTAAATATTTTATATAAGTTATATTCACCCTATTTCGTTTTAGCTTATGAAGGACTAATAGTTGAATTTTCCGACAATGATATGAGTATAACTGACGTTTCCTTTGAATTTCACATATCCTTGATTTCCTAAAAGGTTTTCTCATCCAGGGTGGACGGCAGTCTCGACCTCACCTAGGTCTTATTAACACCCCCAGCGGGAGTCGAACTATCTTTGTGCGACGTGTAATCTCGACACGTTAACCACTGCGCCATATTGTTACGAGTTCTCGTGGGTCACAAGGAAGATATGAATTTTAAAGAAGACCAGGGATTTTCCTATATCACATTCTTTGATGGGATGAGAATACCTTTTGGGAAAGCAAGGCTATGTGAAATTCAATGGAAATGTTATCTCTACTCATATCATTGTGGGAAAATTCAGCTACCAGTCCTTCATCACCTTAAACGAAATAGGTGAATACATCTCGCGTAATCCTAGCTTTGACTGAACTAGTAAGACATTGTTTGAGCCTCAGATATTCGTCAGCGCAATTCATTGTTGTGATGGCCGCACTCTTCAAAGCGCCCTTACTCCCATCTATCAAGTGACATTCGTCTTCAGAGGAAGTAATAAATCCACTTGTTTCATATAGTTCTGAAGGTAATGATCATCCTTCTATATGCGTAAAGCCGAAGGTCATTCTTCTTTTCCTTTCTTTCTTTATTATATAATGCATTTTGAAACATTTTTAACGACATGTTTGCAGTATATTTTAAAGTGCATAGGATCGTGTAGCCCTTGCGGAGTAACGTATTTGCTCCTTAACGCACATATACGCGGTCTGAATCCTGAGGAGTGGGGCTGATGTTATGCGACAATACAGCTTGGACGAAACTAGCCTTTTGGACTGCATGACATAACGGAGTTTGTGGTCGTGTTGTCAGGGCGGCCTTGTTGGACGCACCTTTTCCGAAGTTCTCTGCTATAGTAGTTATCATGATTCCCATCATCAGACCGTGGACTTGGTACATTCTCAGACGTTTCGTCGGCATTCTAGTTGTGGAGACTTATATCTTTGACAAGTTGTAGCTTGGTGCTGAGAATGACAAGGCTCACTGATAATGCTGACTACGATGCTGGCGAAACGTCTGGGAATGTACCAAATCCATGATCCAACGCTGGAAATTATAGCAAAGTATGTCAGATAAGGTGCGTCCAACTAAATCACCCTGACAACAGGACCAAGTTGCGAAAACTAGGTCAACCCACTTCCCCATAAGAAGTTTGTAAATCCGGAGTCTTTAATTGCCTATTTTATGTTCTTTTTGTATGGCAAATGTAAACGCCCGAATTTTTCACAGTCGCTTTCATTAGTTGGTGTTCCTGTGGTTCAGCCACAGGAGGTTTGGTCTCCGGCTATAAATCGTTTTAATCCAAGTTTCAGGCTTTACTTGCTAATCATGTCTTGCTCTGTTACCCAATACCTTAGTGCCTCAGCTTTTTACAAGAACGTCTATCGTGCAAATTTACGCAGCTAGACCGAATAGCTTATATATTCGTCCGTTGTTGAGTGCTACCCAAGTACTGGATTATCATATCTGAATTAATTATCCCCATCACATTTAACTTACGGTATTTTAGTATAGTGGTGATATATGGTGATGTGTTATATTTTGATACGACTCCTTGATCTGTCAAGAGATTCGTATCCCAGTACAAATCAGTTGAACTGTTTCGAACAGTTTTCTTCAATTTATTGCTATTAATATTCGCCATCAGTAGGCCATATTTTGGCAGTTCTGACTGCTGATTTAATGTTGTTGTGGTAAAGGGTCTGATAAAAATATTTGTAGGCCGTTCTTACAAGAAGACGACGGCTGATTATTGCGATTCTGCAGCCGAGTTAATTTTCTATGACTTTCACATTAACGTAGTTCATGAGCCATCCTCAGCTTTAGATAAAAATGACTGAGCTTTCGTCCGTTATTACTCTTGACGGGCATCTTTAGGACTGGGTTACATTTTTACAAAAGCTTCAAGTTAATGCTAAGTCAAAGTGACTAGCCTGAGTTGACTTTCAATGCTATATCTACTCATAACTAAAAATGAAAATGTACAGATATGCATAGCTATATATAGAATGCCATAATATAATCTAAGATGTCTGTGTGCGTGCCTGTAAGCGTGTAATTCAGTTTTTGAAGCAGCAGTCGTACCTCCGGGTAATTACGATTGAAATGAATAGAAGCTGGTTTTCGAAGAATCCCTCAGTAACATGATGTTGGAAACCATTATTTAGGATAAAATATAGAATTATACAACTCTTCGTCAAGTTTCACAATACTACTGTCATGCCAAATACATAAAAAGATAGGTGAATTACTGACAAAATGGAATGTCAGGACAATGTATAGGGAAATACAAAAATATGAAGAGATGCTAGGTTTCGAAGGATCCCTTAGTAAATTGATACTCGCATACCTTTCATTTCGTTTGAGAAGGTGATTGGATGGGATTCATTCGCAGATAAGCCTCACCGGATGCCAAAGGATGGTTGACTTGGACTTTTGTTTGTTGACCTGTTCGAAGAAGACCACGGTTCACCGTCTTACGAGCCCGATGACTCCGTGCTGAGTGTTCTTCCGTCCTGTGACGGACATCTTCAAAGCAAGAAATAATTATTCACGAATACTCACCAAAAAACACTAAACCGAGCAAGGATGGCCAGCTGATATCCTACTTACTTCTTATACCTCACTTTGCTATCTTAACGAGGCATTCCATGATTTTGTTGGCTATTTTATGCTTGTCCTGCATGCATGTAAGCGGGTCAAAGTGATGCAGGAAGGTGAGCAGACTTGGTCGCAACTCTTGTCTATGTAAATAAAATAGAGTATGATCCGGTAGTCCTGGGTCTTGTGAGAGCTTCGTGGATATGTGTTCGTGGGTGTATGCAACAACCACGAGGTGGTTGGCAATTTTAGGTGCACAAGCAGATTCCAGCCTAGTAAAGTCTTCTCTTACTCAGTGACTCTTCCTGTTCCCTTTCATTCTGCCTCTCTCTTTCTCTATCTATTCCCTCTCCCATTCTATTTAACAGTCAGAGGTAGTTCTTATTATTTC